TCACTGCTTCGTCTTCATCAGTACTGGATGCCGAGTCGGTTTCTCCACCGGAGTCGACTAGTTTTTCTTTCCCGTGGCCTTTGTAGATGTGGGTGTTGCCAAACTCGAAAATTCCTACTCTCTCCGATTTTATCCCCGCAATATTATTCCCAACGATGTTGAAGTCATTGCCTCTTCCGCCCTTGTCTTTTTCTTGGGTTGGAGAGTTTTGGTGCTCACTGATGGGGATTTCGAGCTGTTGCTGTTTTGTTGGTCGGTGTTCGCCTTAGAAGAATCCTCAGAACCTTGTTTCTGATAACAAAGTGGAGGCTTCAGATATAGCCAGCCGGTCGACATTTTCACTGCTTGCTTGGGATCCTTGTCCGATTTGATATATATATAAAGGCGGAAAGACTCAAAAGCCCCAGAATACCCCTGGTAACCTAAAATACTAAATCGCATGATTTTAATTAAAATAGGATAAAATTGTAAAACAAAAATTAATAAAAGAAAAATAAAAACCGGCAGAATTTATTAATTTTTTGCAAACACGTCCTGGAGAAACCGCTAGCCCTATTCATCATCAGATGTCTTGGGTGGTTCCTTCAAGTGTGGCTTATTCTATTATTGGTGAAAACATGACAGGGAGTGATGACGGAAGAATGGACAAGACTGATCACAATTGCAGATGCCATCTCTTAATATTTTGAACTTGCATCTCTCTTGATATGAAGAAGAAACATGGTATGAAATCTGCTTTGAATTGAGTCTTTCTCTTTTTCTCAGGGTTGATTTTATATATCTTTAACGCTACCGCCACTGGTGTGATGGGTTTATCCAATTAGGATCAAATCTAATTTTTTTAATTTTAATTTCCTCTTTTCTTCATCGAATTAAGTCTGTTGTTATGCTTTGATTAACTCAACACTTTTCATTGAAAACTACCACGTACATCATTTGTCTGCATAATGTTGTTGTAAATTTACAAATTTATAATGTTGATTGTATTTGTGGTTCATGGGTTTTGGGTCTTTTGCTACAATGGCATGTTTTTTGTTTTCACAAGCACCAATAGGGGAACAGACGAACCAAAGAAAAACTCCGCACAACAAAACGATGCTGAAATTACTAGGACACGCATAGAAATTTGAATACTTTAGCATGGTAACAAAAATAAATATATGTTATACGTTATCTAAACGAAAAAAGAAATAAATAAAAGTTTTCCCTCTTAAGAGGCTTTTTATTTAAGATAATACTAGACTTACCATATTTTTATACTACTGTAAAATATAAGAAGATTTCAACATTTGAAAAGACTGTAAGAATTAAATCATATCCGACTCAAAATATGATGAAACTCGACTAGTAAAATGATACTATATCAACTAGGTACAAAAACACATGCATTTAAAATATGGTGCAAAGTAATAGTTGTGTGTGACTTACCATTGTTTATCAATAATTGCAGTTTAAACCATGTTGAAACCTGTCATCAATGGATGCAACAGGTGAAGCCTTTGTCAGGTATGGTGTTGCCAAAGTTGTGATACACAACATTCCTGGCTCCTTGACGTGCAGTAAATGTCGTGACCACCACCTTGACGTCGTACATTACGAAAGTTTGACGCCCCAACATTCTGACTGCCCCGGGTCTGCTATAATATTATTGTTACGAATCTGGAACCTGCTGCTGCCTCCTCCTCCCTAATCGTGCCTATACATATTCACATGAGGAAGCTCTTGTTGAGTTCTTTCTCCTTGGGGTTCGTGTCCAAAAAGCGTTCTAGGGAGATCAGGAAAGTGGTTACTGCTCTTGGGGGTTGTTGCTAGTTCAGTTCTTCAACTTCAGTTCGAGAACCTTAGGCATAAATTTCATAAATGGACAACTTACTATTTTAAACTAATTACATAAATTCCTTAGGCATACGCACATAGAATCACATCAAGGAGAAGATCTTGAATCAAATAAAAATATTAATTATAATAGTACATACCTGCCATTGATGAAAGCTCAACCAAAGTCTTCTACTCTATGTAGAATTAAGAGTTTAACCCGTTGTCCATTTGAATTACGAGTTTAAGTGCCTACCCTTTCCCTCAAGTGTTGGAATTTAAAAAGGTTTTAAAAATTTAACCGTTTTATTTATTTAATTATTTTGGCTGTTTTATTTTATTTATTGTGGGAGTTATAAATATTTAATATTCAGATTTTATTTCTATATTGAATGCCTTAATTTTCAAGTTGGTGAAGGTTACATGTTATTAGATGCCTATAAAAGGCTACTCCTCCTTTACATTTGAACAACCACAATACACCATCAGAATATCACATACCACAATCACCACCACAAACTAATTCTCTCATTTTCTACTTTTATATATATTATCTACTTTATATTATTATTTTGGCAATGGTTATGTGACTTAGATATCTATATCCATCTATGAACGTGCTCATAGTGGATCTTGAGTTTGTGTACAAGGGGTCATATCTTGGAGTCTTGTAGACCGTCAGTACCTGCACGTAGGGAGACTACAAAGGCTTTAGAACATCGTCGTTGACGTGCTTCACCGTACCAAACTTACCTTCTTACTTATTAGTTATTTTGTTTTACTTACCTATTATTTTGTTTTCTTCTATTTCATTGTACCTTAAAAGTTTTCCAATTTGTTTATAAGTTATTTATAATATAAAGGTTTTTGTATTTGGCTTTATGGAAAAGGAAAACCATATTTTTTATAACAATCTAAAGCCTTTGTAGGTTAAAATTATTTTCTTTCCATACTGCTGTAATTCTTTGTAGTTTACAATTGTTACAATTGCATATCTATATTTATGTAAGCTTTTGACGGCAATATGTTTGTCCCTGTTAAAATCTATTTAATTTTATTCATTAAAGGCATTTGGTAAGAGGCATGTCGGTTTGAAATTGCTAGCGTGATTATTTGAATATTCTATTTAAACAACCAAATAAGTTCCCAGCCTTTTGTCAAAGAACCGTTTATCCATGAGTTTCAGAGCTCTATCCAAATATTATTATTAGTTTGTTGGTTAAACATAATTATCGGTTTGTATAATTTTGAGGAAATGTTTTTTAGTTGCATCTTTGTCGTGCATGCTATGTTTGATGGATAAACATGATGTACACGTAGTTATTTTGTGAAATAGAATGTGTAATTATTTATTGTCAAGTATTGAATTGTTTTTTTGCCGCAATGATTGTATGAAAACAAATGTGATCCTAAAACTACAAACAAAAACAAAGAGAGAAAACTGCAATTGGTGATTAATTTTTAGTGACCAAGAGAGATAGCTCACGAATCAGACGAACATATTTTAATGACCAATTTACAAATGTTAGTGACCAAATTATTGACCTCTATATGCAAATAATAATCACAAATGACACCGTTTTTAGTGACCACGCAAAGGTGGTCTCTAATAGTTTGTGTTTTAATGATCAGATTTTCAGCGTGGTCACTAAATGGAATTTGTGACGAGCTTCTATCAAGTGACCACAAATATTTGAACATTAATTGCACTTTAGTTAACATATCAGGTACTTTTTTGTGACCAATTGGCTGGCCACAAATATCTGTCTTTCTTATAGTGGTAGTTGGCCAAGAGAGGAATTGGAGAAGAAAAAACGATAGGAGAGAGAGTGTGTGTGGGAAGTGAGAACTGGAAGAAGAACACAGAAGAGTGAAGAGGAGTGAAGAAGTGATTGACCAAAAAAATAGAGAGAAGAAGTGAAGGAAAAAGTAATAAAAACACAACCAGACAATACAAAATTGAGAGGAGTTTTCTTTTAACACCAACCAGACAATACAAAAGGCACTCACGTGGTCTCCAAACCAAAAAGTAACAACTTATATTAATATATCTTCAGCAAGCATGCGACTTTGTTGAATAAAATACAGTAAGTGGTGGGCTACTTAGCTTATAAAATTTGAAAAAGGGGTGGGCTAATATTCGTGGGAGTAAGAAATAGGGAGCTTAATGAGGGGTTATGTTGATGAATTATAATAAGGGGTTTAATTCAGTAGTCTAATAATAATTTTGCACTTGATGGAACGACTATTAAAGATTCTGTCACAATAACCCCTCATCTTAGCCTCCTTGGTAAGAAAAACCTTATAAAATTTGCATCAAATTTATCAAATCTTGCACCAGACTGAAGTTCAGGATCTAGTGTCTACATTCCGCCCTTGGATATTTCTTAGAATGAGCAAGAATTATTTGCAGAGAAAACTTTCTTTTATTGGTTGGTACCAGAAATGACTTTCAAGATATCAATATGGAAAAGTATATGTGATTTATATACATTTGAAGATAGCAATCATTAATCTAGTGAAAAAGCATCTGATGACTACAATTTGTGGCTTGTCCATTTTCCTTGATTGGGGTTTCTATTCAAGCAAAACAGGTAACATACGAATTAATGAGAGGGGCAATAATATTCTAAACTCACACACACACACACACGTCACAAATGGTAGGACTCGAACCCAGTACATGTGAGAGCAATTACTCCAAACCACTATATTAGTGAATCTTTTGCCACAATAATGCTATTTGAACACACTAAACCCTAAACCCTAAACCCTTTAAAATCACTTTTTCTATTGAGAGGGGCAATAATATTCTAAATTCACACACACACACACGTCACAGATGGTAGGACTTGAACCCAGTACATGTGAGAGAAATTACTCAAAACCACTATACTAGTGAATCTTTTACCACAATAATGCTATTTGAATTTTGAACACACTAAATTGGCCACATTATGTGGCGGCTTATGTAGTAGTGCATGTCAATTAATAAAATTGGTTGACTGGGATTTAACTTTTTAATTTTCTTTTTTCCTTTTTTGTTCAGATTTTTTATTTCTTTTTTTCCAAGGGCATATCTGCTCCACAGTAACTAGTTCACCGTCGCTAGATTATTTGAACACACTTAATAAAAACCTTTAACTCTGCTCACCGTGGTCGCTCATCGTCAGACCACAGCTAGCCCTTCGTTGGCGTGAAAAGAAATAGTACTTGTTGCATGTAGACAGGAAGAAATAATACTCACTCAGCATTAATATACTTATGACATGTAGAAGAAGAAGAAGAAATACAGAAATATAACAGAAATAAGATTCAGATTCAGAGAAGGGAATGCAAAGAAAAGTTTGAGTGTAGGAGCACTGGTGGCCATACATCCCCAAACCCTTCCGATAGATTAGTATGGGAAACTCCAAGCCTCTCCTTTCTTTCTCGCTTGTTTTGTTCTTCCTTCTCGTGCCTTCTTTTTCACTCAGCCAGCTTGCTTCATCTTATTTAGTTTTGCTTACTCACCTATAATTTATATAAAGGAGTAAAAGAACAAGAACAAGAACAAGAACAAGAAGAAATAAGGTGGTCGACGACTTTTTGTAGTTCATGTTGCCAAAGTCGGTAATCCCAAAACGATTGCATCCGTTTGAAAAAATAAAATTGCCATCGGTTTCGAAGTCTGCACCCGAAGCTCCATTCCCGAAGTTTGATATTCCAGACTCTTCGCTATTATGTCCGATGACTATATTCTCAGAAGTTTTGAAGGTCGGGTTGCTTTCATCTTTATTTCCAGAGCCACGACGGCGGGTTCTTGCCCTCTCCTCCCGGACCTTGAGCGCCTCCTTGAGCAGTTGTTCAGCTTGATCTCCATTCCAATCTTATATATATGTTAAGAAAAAAATGGAAAGGATCTTCAAATAAGTGGACTTTGGGCAAATGCTCCAAAATGAGTTAAAAGACAATCTTTCAATAAATGGAACTTCAGTTGAATCAAATAAAAATATTAATCATAATAGCACTAGTACATACCTTTCATTGATGAAAGCTCAAAAGAAAGTCTTGTACTCTCTGTAGGGTTCTTATGTTCAACTAGCAATACGAAGTAGTTGTTTTGAAAGTGTGTTTCTAAGAGAGCATTGTTCTCTTTAAATAAGTTGAAAGCCAGTGGGTGGAGAAGGTTCGAGATTTTCAATTTTGTTTTTCCTTCAAGCCTAGAGGGTGGGTGTATCTAATTCAAACTTTTAATAACTTTTATAAAGTTTAAAAGTCTAAAAGTATTCAATTTAAATTTTTAATGAGTTTATAAAAGTTTAGTGGTATTCAATTGTGACTTCTTAAAAGTTTGATGGTATCCAATTATGACTTTTAAAAAGTTTTTAAATTTTTTTGGGGCTATCCAAAAAGGTAATGATTTTTAAAAAGTTGGGTTTTTAAGTCTAATGGTCCTCGAATTTTGACCTGATTCGCATTTTAGTCTATTAATTTAAAAAAAGGTTCTCGTGGTCCTCAAACTTCAGTTTTGTTAGGACAAATGGTCTTGCCATCAATTTTTGTTAACTATTTCTATTAAATGCATGGGCAAAATGATATTTTTGTATTAAAAAAAAATGTTTAAAAAAAAAATGATTAAACCTAGAAAGATACTTGGGAAAATTGGATATTATTAGGCTCAAGATTATTTAAAGTTTCACTTCCGCCTCTTGAATAGTTGATTCATGCTTGTTATAGCCTAAGATCCATTATATTTGAATTTATACACATGTTTCCTTTATCAAAATCATTTTCCACTAAGCTAGACGTTGTTGGCCTTTATCTTTTTTACTTTATGGATAACATTTTTTATTACATTTAATTATAGGTTAAATACCTTTTTGGTCATTGGATTTTACACGAAAATTCAATTTGGTCACTAAAAATTTTTTTTAGCCAAATTGGTCATTGTGTTTCCCAAAATTTACAATTTATAGACATTTTATTATCTTTCATTAAGTTTCACCTTCAAAGCACGTGCTTTTTACATTCCAATTATTTTCTTCAAGGTGATAGAGCACCAAAATATATTGGTAAGTTGTAGATTTCATTTTAATTGGTTTGGCCTTACCTCAATTTCGATTTCAACCCAAAATTTTCTAAATTTGTTAAACCCTAATAGCATAGTATACCCTAATTGGTTGAGTTAGAGGAAGAAGACTGAAGGTGCTTCCTAAAAAAAAAAAAAAAACCTAACTTAATGAAAGATAACGGAATGTCTTAAAAATTGTAAACTTTACGAAACACAATGACCAATTTGGCTAAATTTTTTTTAAGTGATCAAATTGAATTTTCATATAAAACGTATTTAATCCTTTATTTATTTTTTGAATTGAATGGATTGAACTCTATCTTTCAACGCATAGACGTAATGGATTACGTCAGAAGGATAGCTAGGAGAAATCAATATAATATATATATTTTTAAAGGCAGATTAGGTTTTCCAGCTTTTGGAGCAATAAGAGATACAGAATTTGACTATGTAGCCAATTGACTGACTTTGATCTTACCAATTATTCAATATTTCTACTACACATATGAATCTCACGTTATGTTGATAACATTATTTATATTTCGGCTTGACAATTCTAACTATCGAACTATTTAAATTGGTTGATTCAAACCATAATGAGCGATTTATCATTTAAATTAGGAGTATAAAATCACAAAAATATTGTTGGAAGTTATCATAATTATTCCAACGCTGAAGTTTGGATTCATGTGTATTTATATCAATCAACTAAGAAAATAACTAGGTCAATTGACACCTTATTATTTTAATTGTCAAGTGTTGCTCAAGTGGCAAGTTAATATGACACTAACCTCTCGTTCAAGTCTACTCCAAAATGTAATTTATAACTCAAATAGTTCAAATTTTTGGTCCTTGCTCAAATATAACCCATGCAAAATTTATCCAAATCCGAAATTGGTTAGCAACTTGATTAGCAACTTGATTATTAACATTTCCTTGTTTAGGCCATCTCCAACCCAAGGACTTAAACCCAAAATATTGCCCAAAACCTCTCCCAACCAAAGAAAATGAAGGACCCAAAATTTGGGAAAACCCAAATTTGGACCCAAATATGGATCCAAGTATTGCCTAGACCTAACACTATTCAATGGAGCCCACTGCACATCTCAAACAGCCCCATGTGCAAAGATTCTGATGTGGGGTCCACCTCTAAATTTGCAGCTTGCTTTTTGTCTTCTCTTTGCGCCACTTGTCGCTATCCCATGGAGTTGTCATTGGAATCCAATGGTTTCAAATGTTGCTGTTTTTTTTTTGTATGTACATATAACTTAAATCAACGATAAGGATTAAATCTATGCTATTTTAACAGTAAAAGAAAAGATCCAACGGTTGAAATTTAAATCCAACTGTCAAAATAATATTTTAAATTAATCCAAATCAGATCCAATCCCAAATCTCACTCCAAACTTTATAAATACTCACCCATTTCTCAATTAATCTACCAAAAACATTTTTTCTATTTCTCAATTTATTTTTCCTTTGTCAATTTCATCAATCTCTTCCATTATCATACTTTTGATATTATTTCAAGCACATCATCTTCTTCATTCTCATACTTTTGGAATAAAATTAAATTTATGGAATTTCAATTTTTTTTAGGTCAAATTGTTCAAAAAAAATAAAATATGACGTTATTTAAAAAGATTAATGAAGAAAAGTTTTCCAAAAAAAAAAAAGAAAAGAAAATTAGACTTAAACCATTCTTAAACAATTTAATAAAGTTGTGGACTTAAAATTTGGGTCCAGAGGGTTGGAAGAAAAAACGATTTGAGTCCGGGCAAAACCCAAATAGTTACTTTTTGGAGGGGTAAAATTTGGGTTTAGCCGCTCATGGGTTGGAGAAGGCCTTAAAAAACATGGTTTTCTTCTATTTCTTTGGTTACAATTAGATAATTAAGTGTTTTTTGATTTGAGTGAATTTTTGTGGGGACAATAATAACCCTAAAAGTAAACGACTTGAATCACGAAATAGATTGTGGAATAGATCAAAATGAGTGATTAGTGCCGTATTAACTTATAGCTACTTAGAAATATAGACATAAACACACATATATGCAAAAAATATGGTCACCATCTTAATCCTCAAGAACTCATAGTTCTCACCGGAGAAAATAGGAGTTCTCACCTCTGAGCTTCCATATCCAGCCATTTCTGGTCTCAGATGCACTTAAAAACAAGTTGTTTTCAAATTTAAAAAATAATCGAGCTCAAGCAGCTTCATGAGCCTTGAACGACCTTCAAAATACCCCGATCGTTTTCCTTCACAGTTTGAACGCACAGCTTCAGATGATTGAACCTGGCTCTGAGGCCATGTTAGTGTTTTGAGTGTGTGGATAAAGAGTGACGAAGAAGAGAAGAAACGAGAGGAAGAAGATTGGCCAAAACTGCTATACTATACGTGTAGCAGAGGAATATTCATCCCAATTCAGTCTTACTGCCTCACGCACTTGGAGTGAGGGAATATAACCGTTAAGCACTGCCGGATCCATAGAAGTGCAAGGAGTGCAGCTGCACCTCCCTTCGCCGGAAACTTAGTTAGGGATGCCAGAATTTGCCCCTTCGCTAGTGCCCATCAATTGTTTGACTAAATGCCTCAAAGATGTTGTATTGTTTGTTGTTGTGTGAGACCCTGAATATTTACCTTATATTGTTGGGCTTAATCTCACAAGCATGTCGGAGAAAACGGTTCATCAATTAGAGCTCCACAACCGAAGTTATGAATTTTCGAAGTTTTTCTAGATTATTTGAAGTTAAGTTGCAGAGGCAGAGTTCAAGGAAGAATAAGCCTCCGCGTCAGCGCTTCTCATTTTGATTCTTTTTTAAATGGTCCAATAGCAAGCCAACACATGTCTATTTCTAATTGGCCTAACTTAAAAAATTCATTAAAAACTCATATGTATGCCAAAAAATTCACCAAAAATTACCCCGAACTTCTAATCACGTGTACTTTTATCTAGTGACCTCCAACTCACATGTGCTTTTGGTTATATTAATTGGTATTAGTTTTGGTTAGATTAATTGGAATTGACTTTTGTTAGATTCATTTTGTAATTGACATGGATTTTGTTCATATTTGATATGAATTTTGCTAAACTAATTGTGTCAATGACAAGGATTTTGTTCATATTAATTGATGTCCATATAGACTATAATCAATTAGTTATAGACGTAAAACTCTTATTTGTTTTAATTATGAGGGACATTAGTATTGTTTAAATTCTAAAGGCATTTGGTTGTCTAAATTATTTTTTGAATTTTTAGCCTTTTTTTTTTAACACACTACACGGGTGTTAAGACTTGAACCCAGTCTGGCCTTGCTTGAGTCCTTTGCAAATTTTTAGCCTTTTAAATATTGTACCTTCCCTGAAAAATTCATGGATCTGCCACTGGACACAATAGCTAGATCCCTTACATCACATGGTGATCTCCGCCGTTCAGTTAGACAACCAATGGGATCTTTACACTTGGCTTATAAACTTAGAGAAAAACGAAAAACTATATTAACTAACTATTAAGTCAGCTTAACAGCTTATAGTTCAACAAAAATTACGCAGCCCCTACCAAGAACTACTGAAAATACCAATGCAAGCATGGAAACCACCATTGACTAGAATAAAATAATCTCAGAACAAAGTACACAAGTTGGGTTTTCCGACTTCATGAGCGGACCAGTGTTGAGGAGAACGAGGGTTCACACATACATTCTTAAAAAATATAATTTATTCAGGCCACGGCAGGCGTGTTGGGGATGGGAATGCTACTTCAACGTGGGGTTCATATTTCTTCTTGTTCCTATTATAATTTATAAATAAGAGTATCCTTGCTTCATAGGTGGATATAAAGAAAAAAGCTAGAACAAGAGGAAACAGTACTGATTGCATGTAGACAAATAACATTCAGATTCAGAGAAAAGTTCAAGTGTAGGAGCTCTGGTGGCCATAAATCTCCAAACCATACATCTCAGTTTTTGTTTTCTTCTTGCAAATTCCAGCCTGTTTATTCAGCAGCCCCTTACCTTTTTATCTTATTTATATTTTCTTCTTGTTCGTACCGCTAGCTTCGCTATATATATTATATATAGCAAAAACTAGAATAATAAGCCCACCAAGAAAGAATGAAACGTTCGACGTGGAGTAGTTGTTGCCGAATTTGCCAATCCCCACACGCTGGCCTTTGTTTGAATGGATTTTATTGCCCCTAATGTTGTAGTTTCGACCCCTCCTTGCTTCAAGACCATCAATATAACCTGCACGATAGTCGTTGTTGAAGTCGAAAACCCCAACTTCTGTGGCTTCAGATGAGCTGATTTCATTCCTATGAATCTTGGTCTCACTATTTTCGTTTTGCAGAAGCTCTTGTTCATTTCTTTCTCCAGAATTCTCCTTGGGGCTCTTGTTCAGTTGTTTAGCTTCAGTTCGAGATCCATCTTATATATATATATATATATGCAAAGAGAAAAATGAAAAATAATCTTCAAATAAGTGAAAATTGGGCAAATACTGCAAAATCTTTCAAAAATGCAAGTTACTATTGTAAAATAAGTACTAAATTCCTTAGGCATGCACGCATAGAATCACATCAAGGAGAAGATCTTGAATCAAATAAATTTACATACCTGCCATTGATGAAAGCTGAAAGGAATGTTTATTCTATCCTCTGTAGAGTTCGTATGTTCAACCGGCAATAGAGACTAGATGTTTTGAATGTGTGTTTGGAATAGAGGATGGACCCTTTAAAACTAGTAGAAAGGTACTGTTTAAGCCTTCCTCGTTAAGTTCCAATAAAATAAGACCCATTACTTGCTAGACACGTGGATACACAAATGCTTGTTACATCCTCTTTCCATTTTTAATTATTGTTTCTCTTTCTTCTCTCGATTTTGCATCTCTCTCTTTTTTTAAGTATATGTTCTCTTTCTTCTCTCAATTGCCTCTCTCTTTCTCTTTTTTTATTTCTTTTTTCTCTTTCTTCTCTCCATTTCTATTTTCATTTTCCATCTCCCTCGCTCTCTTCTCTCCTCCTCCTGCTTCTTCTCCTCCTTATTTATTCTCCTTATCCAAAGTGCCCATTGACATACCACAAAAAGAGCACCAACCTATATCACAAATAAGTCACAGATTTCAAACACCCAAAGACACGACAATTCAAATCACAAAATTAACCAAAACCAAAGGTGCCCACTTTATGAACAAGAGCACAAAATAGAGGGTTCACAAAAAATAAAAAGTAAATATTTCCCCAAAAACAGTAATGAATCAATAAGAAAACTAAAAACTAGAGCTACCCAGATGACCAACAATAGAAAAACCAATAATCCCGAAGATACCCAGATGAAAAAACAAGGGAAAAAAGAGAGGAGGACGAGGCTAAGGATTGTGAGGAGGAAAAAAAAAATAGAGAGAGAGACGGACGGAGAGAAGAAGAGAAGAAAGAGAAAACATAATTTTAAAAAAAGGAGAGAGAGGCAAAATCGAGAGAAGAAAGAGAAACAATAATTAAAAAAGGGAAGGACGACGCAGCAAGCGTTTGTGTATTCACGTGTCTAGCAAGTAATGGTACAACCGATTTTGAGCGATTGTGAATAGTATTCCTCATAAAATAAATAAGTACTTTGTGTGGTGAAGGTTCGAGAGTTTTTATTTTTGTTCGAGTTTGAGATCTTTATTGCTGGGATAGGATTCCATCCCACCATTCAAGACTAGAATTTGAATCAATCAAACTTATTTTGAATAGCTAGATATATGTTCGTCAAGTTTTAAATATTGCGATGTCCCTGACTGCTAGTAGGCTATATGTTGGCAGCTAGAGATTGCTTGTTGGTGAAGGAAGTGGAGCGAGAGAGATCCAGGCCCTGAAGTGGGCTCGGAAGCTGCTCTCTGATGATTTGTGATTGGCATGTCACTACTAGTGATACTCTTATAGTAGAAAGAGGGAATGAGGTGAAGATGAAGCCTATTAAACTGTTGCGCCCTTGTTTTCTTATATTTTAATCAAAGCCATTGTGCTCTAAATAGGGGAATCTAGTTTTAGATAGGTTCTTTTCTATGCCTCAGGGAATACCACTTTAATATTTCACCTATTATGGAATAAAACGCAAGATGGATGATGATTTTAGACTGTCATCGGACAAAGAGTACAATAATGAGCCTTGCATGAGAAGTGTTTGGTGGATAACATAATATCAGGAAGCAATTATGTATCCAACAGATACTTAATAATAAGTACAAATAAAAGTAAAGCTGGTTCCAACAAAACTACGAGAGCCTTATCGGACAGAAACAAATTCCATCGAACATAACTGCAATCTACTTGAGACAGTGTAGAAGGTATGTCTGATGAGAGCTTGTCAGAATATATGCAGTCATAACTTGTTCGAACCACGAATAGGAGTTTTGATTTAAGTGAGTTGGAAATCGAGACCAACTACCAAATCATACCAAGCGATGATGGCAGAGCATATAGGTTACAAACAATAGTGATGCAATTCCAATCAGGAGTTGTCAACTGGGAACTGGACATAGTATGTGTTTGGGAAAAGAAAAGAATTCCAATGAGGAGTTGTCAACTGAGAACTCAAAGAAACGAAGAGGATTCGATTCAAGATTTGGCTTTGGTCTGCTGTGAGATGCTTTGCAAGAGTTTGAGTCTGGGTTACTTCGAGGTTGTCGAGAGTAAGCATATTTTGAAGGCTGTTCAAAATAGGTTTGAAAAGTACTTACCCTACACGTATTCAAGGCTAGAATTTGAATCAGTCTTCCTTTTAACTTACTGGTAATTAAAGAAAAACTTTATGTGGATGTAACTAGATGAATGCCTAGAGATGTGGCTCAATAAGTTAAAAGTTGAAACTCACACAAGGAGAAAATCTTGGGTAGAGCTGCCTTATCACATGGGTTCAGTCTACTGTTTGGTATAAGTATGGGCTGGATTGCATTGGACTTCAAAAAAAATTTGTTTTTAAATTAATTTTAATGTTTATTAGATTATTTAATATTATAAATAATTAAATTTTAAAAAAAACATACACAAAATTCAAAATAAGAAATCACATGAAGATGAAATAAAAATAGTCCAAAAATTCACAAAATTAATGATAACTCGAAAATTCTTTTAATACATTCAAATGATCAACAAATACTTATGTTATTTTGTTCTATTTGCCATCCACTCATGTGAGAACATGATTAGTCAAGCTCTCTCTTTCTGTTACAGTAGATACATTAGTGTTTGTCGACAGTGAAGATAGAAAGATAATAAAGCAACCAATTGGCAGAGCACGTCTGAATGCACCACGATCTCTCTCCTACTCAAAGTCCAAAGTTTCACACCACCCTTTCACACTCTCCTCTCCTCGCGCAAAAAGGGCAAATAGGCCGGTGATGTGTGCGACCCCATTTTTGTTTGGGTGGGTGGGTGCAGTAATTTTCAAGATCGAGTAGGCCTTTTTTCTTTTTTAATTGTACTAGAATTCAGGTCCACTAGATCCTGAAAATCAAACACTGCTCCCCAAATAAAAATGGGGTCACATGGTTGGTAAATGTAATGATGACAATATTCAAATACATTAACTTGGACCCTTTTTTTTTTGGTTGGCCATGGAGTCAAAAGAGTTTATGGCTTGCTTTGGGCACTTGGGTACTTATGATATCTTAGGGATCAATGAAATTTCTCTCCTAATCTCCTCAAACCAAATCAAAATTGTTAAACGGAAACCATCAGGTTTATTCAACTTACTAGTGGGGTGTGTAAACTAGTGTTGAGAGAGTAATAGCGTGAGAGGAAGCTCAGTATAGTCAGCCGACCTTGAGAATTTTGCCCATCAACAAACTCTCTAGACAACTTTATATGCCCATAACTTTCTTAGACCGTCACACACATCACCCATTAGACAAGAAATTAGTGACAGAGCCATAAACTTTGACAGAGGAGGCACCTCAAATATTAAAATATATTTTTCTTACGGTGGCATTTGAACTAATTTTTAACGTGATACTAAATTCCTAAATATGATTACTACACTCTATTATTTTACATATCACATTCACTATCTATTTATCATTGATCCTAGCAAAAGATATTGACTCAAACTAAATGTACTTTGTCAGATATACAAAGATTTGATAATAAAAGATTTGTAATTGTGTTAAGAAAACAAAGGTGTCAAGAAAGTTTAGAGGGGGTCATTGGATCCCCTCTCTGCCCCGGACTATATCCTGCTATATAATCTAACTCACCAAATGAATATAATAGAAGAATGAATGTCCCAACATATCGCATGGTACAAGGTATTAAACCCTAATATTCCGGTTATTCTTTGGTGACTACTGATCCCAAATATTCCTTGTATATATACAAACAAAGTAATTAAAACTGCCAAACAAAGGTCAAAAACAGAATATACAATGAGACCTGTGGTGGAGAATATAAAGTTTTACTCATGCACGCCGTCTAATTGGTTTTACAATAACTACAAAGAGTTTATACAATGCGGAGGAGTCCAATGGCAACATCAAATTCTCATATGGTATAATACTCTCGCGGTTGTATTTGATGTTGCCAAAGTTTTGTAACCCAACTTTTCGGGAATTACCTGCTATAATTGTATTATTATTAATGTCGTGACTGATACCTTTATTTTTGTGGAAGCCCTCGTTTCCTTCAGAGCCACCTTGATCTTTGCCGGCATTGCTCGAGTCGACATTGAAGTTGTGAAAGTTTTATTTCCCGACATTTGAGGATCTATTGCGTGCTGTAATTTTATTTTTAGAAATTCTGGATCGGTTGGTGCTGCGGCCATTTTCAGTATTAGTTGTCGTTCCATTGGGAGTTGCTGAAGTTGTGATACGCTTTCGGAACTCTATCTCCTTCAGTCTTATTGTCACAAATGTTGAGACCGCCACCTTTGAGTTTCTTTAGTTAAATATAACAGAAAATTATACGGTGGGATCAATAGAGCGAATAATATAGAGTTGATGGACCATTTGAACGAATAATTTAATTGAGAGGCCAAAATGTAAATCGGGTATAAGTTTGAGGATCATTTGAGTAATATACCCTTATTGTTTCTAGTGGTTTAGGGAATCTTAATGGTACTTAATATTGTGCAGGCATCCTACTCGCGTGTGTTTGGGTTTACGTTAGGTTAGTGGTGGTCCTACCATGTGCATATGCTGCTCTTGCTTTTCAAATTGAGATCATTTCACCATGAATTCAAGTTTGAACAAGATTCAGACCAAAAACAAAAGTCTGAACAAGAAATTTGTTCACACTTCACGTATTCAAATACCTTTATGGTAGGGTTTGAAAACATGCCCGTGAACCAGCGAGTGGTCTCTATCGTTTGAACTGTGACCTATCTTCTATATATGCAAACTAATTACATAAATTCCTTATAGGCATACACACATACAATCACATCAAGGAAAATATCTTGAATCAAATAAAAATATTAATCATGCCTGTACATACATACCTGCCATTGATGAAAGCTCAAAAGAAAGTCTTCTCCTTTCTGTAGAGTTCTTATGTTCAACTAGCAATAGGGACACACTATTATATATGTGGATTTATTTAATTAATTAATTAGCATTTGTAATCATGCGATTACCTTTTTCTAATGATAATTTATTTAATATTAGTAGCAGCCGTCACCATTTCAATTTTGGATCTACAAATTATTTTTATGTCCCATCATGTGAAAGAAACATGAACACCAATAGGAAAAACGAAAATTTTCCACCCACATAAAATACCTTTTTAGTCCAAGTTGATTATCAGGACTTTATTTATTTATTATTTCCATTTTTATCCTCACCTCTATATACAAGATGGGTCTCCA